ATTTTTGGTTGTCCCAATCGTATGAGAGAAACACCACCAATTAAGTGGTTTAAAGTCAAGGATTTTAGATATCCTGCAGTTTCTGAGATAGTCCTACTCAAAAATAATTATCCTACCTTCTGTATGTTTTAAATGGCCCGCTACTTGGAAACTTAACTCTGTGAGATATAAAAAATCAAGTTAATTTTGTACAGTTTTAATATTCACTGAACATTGGAATCATTGTGTTATAAAAAATCACACATAAGCACCTGCCTGGCAAGCTCAAGGTCCTGAGTTCAATTTCCAGTTTAAAAAAAAAAAAAAAAAAAAAAAAAACCCCACAGATTGGTTATTGTCTTTGGAAGCTTTCCCAAAGCTGTTCACCACCTTGGAAAACATGTCACCAGTGGTTATGCCATTTCAAATATTTGCATCAAGGCCATAAATCACCTGTAAACAAATCTGAATTTGGCAATGAGACAAGCCTGGGTTATTTCCAGTGTAGTGACTCAGGCATTTGTATACCAGGAGTCAGAGTATTTTATAACAGAATATTTTCTTTTTATTTGAAATGTTGGGTTCTAATTTTTGGTCATTACAAAATATCTTGTTAAATCTACCACCATTATATCTCTTCCAGTTTTTTACATAGTAATTTTGCATACTTAATGAGTACAATTTGATAATGATTAAAATAATCAGCATTTCCATCCTTACCAAAGCTGGGAGACTTCAAAAACCTCTTTTCTAGTTTCTTACAAAATATGTAATAAACTGGGGTACGCTAGTCACCCCGCTGTGCTACAGAACGTTAGGACTGGCTCCTACTTTGTGACCCCACTTGGGCACCCCCACTGTGCAGTCTTTCTCTCCCCTCCACCCTTCCTAACCTTAGTAACCAGTAATGTATTTTCTCCTTCTATGATCAGCCTTATTAGTTTCCTACATGTGAGAATACGTAATATTTGTCTTTCTATGCATCGTTTATTTAATATAACACCCTTCAGTTCTATACATGTTGCCACAAGATAAGAATTACTTTTCATGGGTAAGTGGTATTTCATTGTATATCTCTTTTTTCATCTATTCACCTGACAATGGGCTTCTCAACTGATTCTACGTCATGGATTTTGTGAACAGTGTTCCAATGAACACTGGAATTCAGGTTTCTCTGCTTATAATTTCATTTTCTTCAGATGTATACTCAGTCGTGAGGCAGCTGGAGCATATACTCTATCAGTAGTTTTATGAGAAAGCTCCTTACTACTTTCCACAACATTTATACTAATTTATATTCATAGAAATAATGTATAAGAATCCTTTTTTCCCTGTCTTCATCAGCACTTCCTTTTGACTTTTCTTTATACCCATTCTAGCTGTGATAAAATATCTTCCTGCCATGTTGATTTGCATCTTCCTGATGACTAATAATTTTGAGCATTTTTTCATATACATGGCTATTTGCATGGGATTTTTTGTTTTTTATTCTTTGTTTGTTTTTGTCTTTTTGAGGCAAGGTTCGCCCCGCGGTTCAGGCTGGTCTTGGGCTCATTAGGTAGCCCAGTCTGGTCTGGAACTTGCAGCGACCCTCCTTCCTCTGCCTCCCGAGCGCTGTGAGTACAGGAGCGCACCACCACGCCTGGCTGTACGGTTTTTTGAAAAATGTATATTCAGAACATCTTTCTTTTTTAAAAGTTAGGCTATTTATTTTACTTTTGAGTTCCTTTCCTATTCTGGATATGGACGTCTTATCAGGTGAATAGTTTGCAAATATTCTCTTCCACTGTTTAGGTTCCCTCTCCACCCTGCTACCTTGTTTTCTGCACAGAAATTCCTTGCTCAGTATGATCCATTTGTCCACTGTTGCTTTTGTCGCTCATGTTTTTCTTTGCTGTCATCTCTGTCTCTTCTGATCTCTCTTTGTATTAATTGAATCATTTTTAGTATTTCACTCACTAATAATTTACTACTTTCGTCTTATTGTTTTCAGTGATTACTTTTTCTGGGTTGGGGGGGATGTTTTGTTTTGAGACGGATCTTACACTGTGTAGTCCTGGCTGTCCTTGAAATCACTGAGGAACCCAGGTTGGCCTTGAACTCAGAGCAAAACTGCCTCAGCCTGCCTAGCGCTGAGATGACAGACCCGCATCACCATATCCCCATGCCAGGCCACCAATACACTCCTTGAAATTGTCACTGAATTCATTCAAACAATATCCTACTATTTCATATTTGCTTAGGAATATTGTCTTAGTGAACTTCCGCCTGCTTGTCTTCATACATTTTATTTCTTTGTGTGTTAAAAACCCATGTCACACAGTAATGGCTTTTTCTTTAAATAGTCCATTTTCTAAAGATTTAACAAGAAGCGCCTTTTATATTTGCTTGTATATTTAACAATCCTGGTAGTCCTACTTTTATAGATTCAGATTTCCATCCAGCATAATTTTTCCTCTGCCTGAAATACTAAAGTTTCAGGTTTTTATTTGGAAAAATTAAGCTGATTAATTTTATGTGCTTTTGTCTTTCTAAAATTATTATTGTCTATCATTTATGAATAATTACTTTAGTGGGCTTACAATTCTAAGTTAATTTTTTATTATTTCTGTGACTTCCTGTTTTTCAGTAATAAAATGTTACCCTACTTTCTCCCATCATGCATAGTTTCTGATGAGAAGTCTGATGTCACTGTCATTCTTCCTTTGTATTTAAAGGAAATTTTTCCTACTACATTCCTTTATACTCTTTATGCTTGACTTCAATTTGATTACAATGATTATTACCATGTTTTACTTTATTTTTCCTGGCTTGGAATTTTCTTGGATTGTATGTAAACTTCAGCAAATTTAGAAAAACTTTGGTCATTATTTCTTCAGTATCTTTTTATCATTCCTTTAGTTTCCATCTTGAATACTAATTACACATATATGGGAAACAATGTTCTCTCATAACTCAGCAACTTACTGTTAAATTACTTTTAGTCTTCTTTCCCACTCTGTGTTTCACTCAGGAAGTTTCTACTGTTAAATCGTCAAGTTCAATCATTTATTTCTCCTGCAATGTCTAGCCTATGTTTAATCCCGCCCAGGGAAATCTTCATTTCTGGAACTTTCTATCAGTATTTTCTGTCCTTTCCATTTTGTTATCCATGTTGTATATCCTTCCCATTATCTTACTGAACATGTGGATTTATTCATTATAACTCTTTTAACTGCTTCATCTCCTAGTACTGGCATGTGAGTAATTTCTCAGGTTGTATCTGTTGACTGATATTTTTCTTTTTTATGGGCTATGTTTTCCTATTTCTTTACTTGTCTAATAAATTTTGATAGGATGGCAGACATTGTGAGTTTTATATTATTGGTTGCATTTTTTTAATTTGTTTGGTTGGCTGGTATTTGCAAAACATCATTGGCTTTGTTCTATGACACAAAGCCATCTTGTGTATGTCTTTAATGGAGCTGTGATTGTTATGTGATGATTAAAGAAAGATAGTGTTACTATGGAGATGTTTGAGATGTTAATTTCTTATTAAGAAAAACACTCTTCTATTTACTTGTGCAAAGATGATTCATAATTAAAATTGACCTTTTCAGTAATTTAAGCTGAATATTAAATGATATCACAACTTAAAGTATAAAAATTAAATACAAAGAAAATTTAAAATACAAAGTTGAATTCTGCAGCATATTTCTCAGAGCTGAATAAATGGAATAGGTTAAAACTAAGCAAAAATTTAGAGTAATTAAAAGTTACTACAATGGACTAAAATAATGTGAAAATTTTTATGTAATTTTCAATAATGTCTTATAAAGTATTAAATTTTGCACATATATAGAGTTTTCTTAAGAATTGAATTCACTTTTGAAGCAATTTAATAAATACGTGCATGTATGTAAATGAAACCTTGTATGTCATATATGTGCAAAATTTAAGCATATATACTTACAAAATTTTAGTTTCTATGTAGTACATAGAAAGTCTTAATAAATTTTTGAAAGTAAAGAGAATAAAGTTAGTAATAAATAGAAGATTGCTAAAGGTATGATAATGATATCATACTGAGTTATCTCAAAACTCCTTCTGAAATATAAACCCATCTATAATGGCAACAGAAATGGCAAAATGCACTGATTTTGGTTTTTGTGTCATATTAAAAAATTTATTGAGAAGCTCAATACCAAAGATCTTTTCCCTGTGTTGTTTTCTAGAAATTGTATGCGTTCAGATCTGTGACCATGTGACTTGCTTTAACAAATGAAATCAAGAAAAATGTGCAATTTGGGGACAGATATAGTAATAGCCAGTGTGTACCTTACTATATACACCTCATTTTGTATTAATTGCTGTGTGTGGTATGTGACAATAGTCCTATTTCATTCTTCTGAATATGAGTATTCAACTTTCTGAACATCATTTATTAAAGAGACTTTCCTTCCCCCATTGTTTATTCTTGGTACCCACATCAAAAATTAGTTGTCTCTGTGTGTGTTAAATCATCTTTAGAAAAGTCGGGCGTGGTGGCTCACGCCTGTAATCCCAGCACTCGGGAGGCTGAGGTGGGAGGATCTTTGTGAGTTCGAGACCAGCCTGGGCTACAAAGTGAGCTCAAGGCCAGCCTGAACTGCATACCGAGACCCTGTCTCAAAAAAAGACAAAAAAAAAAAAATATCATCTTTAGTATTAAAAATTCATGTAAGAAAAAAAAAAACTAAACTCATCTTCCAAAATGAGGTACTCACTTTTAAAAAAAAGAAAACACTATAATCCTTGTCATCCGAGAAGGCCACACACTGCTAATGTGCTTCTGGAGAAAGCCAGTTCTCTGTCCTTGCCTTAGTTACTTTATTCAGGGTACTGCCTTAGTATTGATGTAAAAGAACTTGTTCTCTCTGGTACAGAAAATATGGTGCTGGCAGGCGTGAAGAGGGACACATTGGGGTTACATATTCTGGGTGTGGCTTACAATACTTGTTAGGCTTTGGAATCTTAACACTACACTGAGTGGAACCAGAGAAGGCTTTGCCAATGAAAGAGCTTTATTGAAGTGCAGCTTCTGTAACAATAACACAGTTCCAAGGCATATTTATTAATATTTAAAGTCTTATAATTTGAAACAAAATTTCTTTTAAGGTCAACAACTATTTTGCATGTTGTTCAATTTTTCAAAAACAAGCCAGCTGGCTCATTGATGATCTTGGTTTACTAACAATTAAAACTGGAAGTAATTCAGAATATCACACAACCTAAATGTTTGCTATTATTGAAATCAGACCATTTTAAACCCTAATGGCTACAGAGGCTAACTATATGCAAAAAACTAATGTTAAAATGTAGAAACTATTTCTAAAATAATGAAAATGTCTATTTTCACTTGGCTTCATAGTCAGTGTTTTCTTCAACTGACAAGTAGTACTGGTTACTTTTTCTTTCTTTTCTGGGTGGCAGGAACTGGGGCCTTCTTTTCTGTCTCTTTCTTTTCTGCCTCTGACTCCTGAGCCGTTTGTGCCTCCAACTTTAGGCGCTGGGCTTCTAGCACCTTCCGTCTGTACTCTTCTCGAATGTCCAAGATTTTCTGTCGGGCTTCATCTAAGGAGTCCTAGTTCCAAAACAAAACCTCAAGCAAATCAGTTCCACTGACAAAGGTTTATGGCCTCAAAGAAAAAAAAAAAAAAGCAGTATCTTTATTAATTTTCTATACAGAATTTCCTGTTAAGGTGTCTGAATAACTGTAACAAAAAGGACCCTTTACTGATTGTACTGGATATGTAACTAAAATGAAAAATGCTCTTTTATTGTTTTAAGCCAAGGAATGGTAAACTAAAGCCTATCAGTCATATCTGACTTACTATTTTTCTAAATTAGGTTTTATTTACCTACATATAAACTTACTCATTTAAGTATCATCTTATTTTGAGTTAATAATGGCAAAGCTGAATGGTTGCAACATATGGCCTATAAGATCTCATTTTGACCTACAAAGACAAAAACAATTCCTTTCTAGTATTTTATACAAAGTGAGTTTGCCAAATCCTGTATTAAGCCACTGTGACAATGGGATTCCTGTTACCAAGGATTAATACAGTTTACTCTGATTGGTGTTTTGGTTGCTAGGGGAACACACATCACAGACAGGCAACATTGGAAATGGGAAGATCACTGAGGGGCTTGTAGCAATATCAATGGAGGACCCTGATGGTTGCCAACAGGGTCGGCGCGAGGGAACAGACATTGTTAGAAACGGCTGAATTTCAGTTATTCTCAAGATAGAGTCGAGAGGCTTTGATAATAGTTTAGGCATGAAGAGTGCATCGAGAATGTCTCCGTTTCTGTTCTGCACCACTGCAAGACAGCAATTGCCGTTTACTGAGGTGAAGAACATTAGTGGTGTTTATGTGTTTGCTGAGCTGACAGCGAACACAAGAACTAGAATTTTTATTTGGAGAGGTTCAGTTTGAAAACAACTGGACAAACAAGAAGAGATACTCAATTTGCTATTATTCAAGGAGGCAAATACTGGAAATGAAAAAGGAAAACCCAGTGTTGTCCATGGCTTAAACATTCAGATCGTCCTGTAGCCTTTAGTGTGTGTGATAGAATGGGGGAGATAAGCTTTAGGGGAATGAAATAAATAAACCCTCATCCTCCACTGTGGAAAGTCACGTGTATACCTTTATTGAATTTTCTCATTTCTGGGATCAGGTAATTCTCTCTCTCTTTCTCTCTCTCTCTCTCTCTCTCTCTCTCTCTCTCTCTCTCGGTGTCAGGGATTGAACTCACAACCTCGTACTTGCCAGGCAGACCCTTATGACGCTGAGCTAAATCCCCAGCCCAATACTCTCATTTTTAATTAAGCTTGGTTTTCACAGTACAGAAATCCTTTTGGAGAGTGGAGACATTTATAAATGAAACACCTTTATTCTTCTGCTAAAGTGGGAAACAGTCACCTGGCTGCAAAAAGTCGGTGATTCCAGATATTAATTTTTTTAATTAGTTAATAAAACCTAATTATTTCATCTTCCTCCCATTCTACTCTCACCTTCTCACATATATGATGCCACCACCTGCTGGGAACTCTGGAAGGATTCTGTAGAGCAAACTGAGCTGACACTTAAGCTTTCCATAGGCCAGTATACGATCTGTTGTCCCAACCAAGTCTGCTACTTATCTGCCAAGTTCATAAACAGCTTTGTTGTCATCTCTCTCATTTTCTCATGTTTGAAGACTTCCAATGTGATGTTTTAGAGAGCAAATGATAAATAAGACGTACACAAGCCACTGGCTGTCTTTTCCAGGAAGTTATGAATTGTAGAACCAAATGTTTTAAGGGCTTCTCTCCATCCAGTTGTCATATGACTTTGACTACTTCTTCACATTACAAAAGAATTCGCCAACTGTGATCACGTATGTAGTTTCAAACTCACCTGTTGGGGCTGGGTATTTAGCTCAGGGGCATAAGCGCCTGCCTTGCAAGTGTGTGGTCGTGAGTTTGATCCCTGGTACCGATAAAAAAAGAAAAAGACAAAAAAAAAAAAAAAAACCGTTAAACTCACCTGCATTTGTGCGTACTTGTTCAGGACCTCATTAAACTGTTCTTTCCTATCAGTCTCTCTGGAGCTAAGGATACTGTGCCTGTACTGCTGAAACTGATAAATTTCTTCTGCCTTCTGCATCGCTTGCTGCTGCTTCAGATCATCTGTTTGCAGCAGGGCTTCATCCTTTGTTTTCCTTAATACAAAATCATCAAAAGAAATATAGAAATCGCTTGGGAAGTTGGGAATAAACTTCAAAAATCAAAAGTAATATAAAACTGCGCCAAGAGAGCATTAGGGGCAGAAAAAATAAACTGTTAGTTTTAAGTAAGCTGCATTCCATTTACTGAATCACTGGTGTTTTAGGAAAAAAATTTGGAAAATATCAAGAAATTTGGGTACATCACTTGATGAGGTGGTTGTAAAACTGATGTTCAAAACTCAGAACATGTTGTAGGTTTTTCTTGGGAATTTATGTGGTTAAGCAATTTTGACAATGTTTTCAAACTCATAAATATACATGAGTAACTATCAATCCTGTCGCCTCATTCTTAGGAAAATGTAATACCACCAAGGAAGGGCAGCTGGTATGATGGGATTTTTGGAAGCTTAGCTTACTGTAATCAGACTTCAAATTAAGTTTTTCAAAAAAATTTTAATTTTTTTTATTGATTTAACAAAACATTTGTCAAATTTGAGATGTAAATCATGAATTTCTAAAAATTTAGATACCCAGAAGATATATTAAGCATGTAATTTCAAAAGTTTCAGTTGCTTAGCAACTGCTCATTGGCAGTATATCCAAAACTCCATGAATACAGATGTCTTCATTAATCATGTCGACTAAAACTTACCGTACATATTGATTTAAGTCTGTAAATTCCAGTGCTTTTCGAATGAGTCGTGGAGATGTTTTCAAAAGTGATGAGGCTCGTGGGTGTGGCCCTGCTTAAAATAAAGAACTAGATTTTCAAAAAAATAATCACCAATGGTTAATTAATTTCAGGCAATTAACTTGATATGTGCATTATTGAAAAAGCTTGCATTCTACCAAATCAAGTGCAAAAGGTAACGAGGCCTGCTTGAACGTCTGGAGCTATGACCCGGAAGCTTTTCAACCTTTAACCACAGCACCAGCAAAAGCAGTCACTGATACCTCCCAAAATGACATGAGCATCCCTGATGGGTGGTGTGCCTGGAAGCTATTTCAGTATATCAAAACTTCACTTAAAAACAGAGGCTTTGGGGAGCTAAGATAATATAAAGGGAAATGGGATCTTTGCAGTTGGGGGACTGCTGTGAAGGTGAACCGAGGAAGAAAAGCCACCCTCTCCCCACCCCGTGCTGATCCCTGGGCACAGATGAGCACTTCTGTCTGAGAGGAGTGCCTTGTGTACAAGCATTTTTAAAAAGTGCAGAGGGAAAGAGTTCTTCCTTGGGCAATTCTAGTCATCATGTAAAATTCACTATACCTTCTACATAAAGTAGACATTATTCCCCTATTTCTTAAATGCAGATGATTTAATTTACTGTAGTCTGCTTTATATAAAAAGAATAATAAGGTGGTGCTTAAAACCATGGAGAGATGTTAAAACAGAGATATCCAGTGGTACCAATTTGGTTCTTTAAAAATATTATTAAAATCAATGCAACCCTAAAGCAAGACTGTTCAAGAAAAAAGGGGGCGATATAATAATTATTTAATAATTTTAGCTTAAAATAAAACAGACAAATTTCTCGTAAAAATGCAATTTACTATACTTGACGCAAGAGAAAACATACAGAGGACATATTCTGGATCTAAGCAGAAGTGGTTCAAACAGGCAGTTAATTGTTGGTGGCAGATGTCAGATATTGCTGGCTTCCTTGAGGGAAGAAATGGCTGGGAGGATGAGGAGGCCTTCTGGGACTGGGTAAGTGTTTTATGTGTTAATCTGAATGATGCTTCCTGAGTATGTAGATACACAAACATCAGTCAAGCTATGCAGTTAAGACACATACCTTGACTACACGTTTATCTGATGATAAAGTCAGGCTATAAACCTATATTCTAAAGCTTAAAAACTGGGTTCCATTTATTGTCTTTTTCCTAATATTAAACTGGATTTTAATCATTAGAGGATATTTTAGGAGTCAGAAATATTTCAAATCCCAATTTTGTCACTTTCTAGATGTATGAAACAGGAAAAGTAAGGTCTCTTACCTAAATGGAAATAGTAATGTGTGCCTTAAGGGAAAGTGAGTGCAAGTGAGACAATAAACAAAAACATTTTATGTGCTCTCCTTTCAGGGTAAGAGGAATAGGGTGACATTCACTATTCATATAAAAAGTTAAGGGACATTATTTCTGCAAGAACTGTTGCGTTGTATGTGAAGGATACAAACAGGGAGCAGCATGATCTTTGATGTGAATCCCTTCAGCCCCTTTAGGAGCCCTGGGAGTGACAGGTGAAGCCGCACAGTGGTAGGAAGAGACACCGGGCTCATGAAGGCCGCATCCACGTGCTGGTTGGGAACAGAAACACTGCTGATGCTCTCTGGGACTATGTCCTTATTGCTGAATTGGAAATAATGTCATGTATCTCAGTAGATTGACATGGGTTGGTCCTTATGTGCAAGTTCTGCACCCATGAGATTCAACCAACTATGGATCAAAAGCAATCAATGAAGGAAATGCTATGTTGCCTGTACTATGTAGTCTGTACTATCATGCTCGTGTCTGTGCTGAACATATAGTTTTTTCTTTATATTAATTCTTAAGTAATATGGAATAAAACTTACTAATTTTTTACTTATGTTACATTAAGTATACTAAATACAGATGGTTTAAAGTACAGCAGAGTTTGCACACATTACACACAAATGCTGTATCATTTTATATGAGACTTGGGGATCCTGGTATCTGTAAGAGGTCCCAGAGTGAGGCTAGCTGTAGTTAAATTAATCCAGACTACAGGGCCCAAGGCAGTCACTTAATAAATATAGTTAATGTGGTATGATTCTTATTTATTGTTATTAACGATATTAAAAGGTAACACATTTAGAGTAATATGCCTGCCTTCGAGTTCCACACTGCCACCTTCTAACTAAGGCGCACTCTCATCTCAGGCTTCATCTTTTCCCAAAAGGAGAAATCGTACCCATTGCGGGGAAGAGGAGGTAGGAATAAATGAGGAAATACGTGCAGATCCTTTGAGAAACTGCTGATCTGAAACCATGAATTTTCACAATCCTGAAGACTAGAGATCGGAAGCGCTTCCTGGGCACCAAGCATGGCCCGCTGACTACTTCTGAGAGGTGACGGGTACCCGCAGTGTGCCTACGGGTGGGGAGGGTGGGTAAGTGGGTCCACTCACCTTCTTCTTTGGGCTTAGCGGGGGTTTCGCTCACAGTCACACTTTCGGGGACATCAAATGGTTTCTTAAATAACCGGCTGAGGTACCGCAGCCGAGCCTGAGATGCCTGGAGGACAAACATCACTAGGTATTTGGAACTCACCAACCAATACAAGTGAACAGCACACAACAAAAACCAGAAAAGTGTAAACAGGACCCTGGAGACAGCCTAGCTCTTAATCATTAATAAACTCAAATTCTGAGCCATGGATGATTTTGACAGTTATGTTTTTGAAAACAAATGAAAAGCAGTCTTAAAACTAATCTGCTGGCCTTGCTATCTTTGATCGAGCTGTTTCTGAATCTTTTTCATCTGCCTCAATTATCCTGAGTGAGAACACGAAACAGGGTAATAACAAGTTTCACTATGGCAAGATCTTTACATCAAATACAGGGGAAAAAGACGAAGTGTGAATGTGCCACCAGGGGGCAGCACATGCCTTTTAGCTATCTGAAAGCACTGTAGATTAACACTTTCCACATTTCTGTGCTGCTTACTTGAGGATATCAAGGGTAGCGGAAGATACAGCCCTGGTCATGTGAATAAAGAAACTCATAATTTGGGCCTGTAAGTGCCACCATTCTGTACTTTACCGTTAAAAGTCCTTTGGGAATGAAGATAATATTTAAAATGTGCCTAAAATTGGTTTTAACATTTAGTAAATCAATATCCAATAAAATTTAGGACACCATTCTTCTAAAGGAATGGTTATGTGGTTTCACCAAGATGGCTCTTCCTTAGACCGTGTCTAACAATAAAAAAATCAACGATGACAGCATGTCACCAGTGTACCTTGACTGCTCTTCCCGGTTCATTCTTCTCCCAGGCTTCCTTCATGGCTCGGATTTCATCTGCTCGTTCTGTATCTTTTTTTACTTCAAAGAATTCTGATTCACTGTGTTCAGAGAACAACCTCAAAATCCAGTAGGGTTTGTTTGGGTCTTCTTGTTGAGGGTGAACAGTCGACGTCTGATAAGATAAATTACAAACTTTGGGGTCAAAATGATTTCTTCCTTGCAAACTGGCCTAGGTTTTGCCCGCTGGTCCATAATTTCACTAATAAATTTTAACCAAGAAAAAGGAAAGCATAAGGTTTGTACAAGAATGTACACTGCAGCCTTCTCATGACAACAATAGCAAAGCAAACAGCATAAATGTCTAACACCTAATTATAAGATTCATAAAATTGAGTACTATTCAACATTAAACAGAAATGATGTACTGATATAACCCACGGTGTGGATACTTGCCCAGGTAGACATTTACTGAGATGCAGTTGGGCACGAACATATGCAGCTTATAATTCATTTATATGATCTTCCAGACCACAGAGTGTGCATGCTTGCTATGTATTCATTATGCAAGTGAAGAGGAACTTAGTGTCTAATTTGGTTGCAATGTGAAATGTCCCACAAAGACTGATGTATTTCAGGGTTTGATCTTCACCCAGCAATGCACAGTGTTGAAGTCTAGAGCAGTAACTGGATCATGAGGGCACTGACCTCAACGATGAATTAATGGATGAATCCAGTAATGATAATCCTATTGATCCACTTATAGATTAACCCTTAGAGGGGTATATCTATCAGCTCACTAGCCCCTTCCTGGCTGCCATCAGGCAAGAAGTCATGGATTTAGTTATAGTGGCAAAAAGTTGACTAAAATAATGTCTCATAGGATCTTTTGTGTAGAACATAGATTAGAAGCAGTTGATATAGCATTAATCATTTCTACATATGTGAGGATCATTGATGTCAATCAAGTGGCCAAGAGAGGTTTTAACCCATCAAATAACTCACTCTCTTCCTCCTCTTTCTTTTTCCCCACCTCTTCCTCTCCCCTCTCCTCTCCTCTCCTCCCCTCTCCTCCCCTCCCTTCCCCTCCCTTCCCCTCCCCTCTCCTCTCCTCTCCTCTCCTCTCCTCCCCTCCCTTCCCCTTCCCTCCCCTCCCCTCTCCTCTCCTCTCCTCTCCTCTCCTCTCCACTCCTCTCCTCTCCCCTCCCCTCCCTTCCCCTCCCCTCTCCTCCTCCCCTCCGCTCTCTTCTCCTGGAGTCCCACTGTACATGTTGCCATGTGTTTTTGTATCCCACAAGTCCCTGAGGATTATTTGCTTTTCTTCAGTTTTTATTCTCCCACTCTATAATTTCAGACCATCTCCATAATGGAGAGTAGGTTTTTCACAAGGAACTGGCATATAATTAGCCTTGTAAGTGAGACCTTCCAGGAATCACCGATTAGAGTAACAAAACTGATGTGGATGCATAACACTGTGCAAAGGTAGGGCTATGTCAGTCACCTGTGTCACATAATGTAGTGGGCAAATGAATGCCCGATCACTGCAGCCACTCAAAAAAGTTTTTGTGGTTTGGTTTCAGTGTTACCAAAATTTCCTTCCTTTCTTCAATATTCCCCTGGTATTCTATGAGAACTGATCTCCAAAATTGGAAACTCTTTCAGTTCTCATTTTTAAAACATAATGAATTTGTGTTCATCAACTTCCAAATGGCCTGGTAAACAAGTGTATCAGAGACTTTTCCAGGTTCAAGTTTTGATGGAGGAAGGAGACACTATGGAGGCACTAAGGAAAGCCAAGGGTCTTACACAAATCTGTGGATAAAGTTAAGCTTGTTTACTCCATGACGCTCTCAAAGGCCAAGCCCTGCGAATGGACAGGGTTTTCCTTTCTCAGAGTCTGAGATAGCTCCCCCACTTGCTTACTAATTTTCCTTGGTGACTGTCCATATTACAGTGATACTAAAATCTGACTTAATTATTCTTGCTGGGAACCCAGCAGATACGCTTAGATTTTTCTTGTTCTTTAAATTCCACCTGCTTTTGTTGGTGGTGTTGTTGTTGTTTAGCTGTTTATCTAGGCTCTCCTTCCTTCCTTCTGACCTGTTACTGACCCATTTTTTGGTTGGGCCACCAGAGCACTATCTTGGACGGCTTCCCCCTCTCTATGTCTAGTCTTGTTTGAATCCACGGGGAAGCTGAAATGTAAATCTGATCATGTCGATACACTTCTCAAATCCCATTTCCAGTTCTGCTGATCACAGGTGGCAGTGATCTCAGGTGATGGGTAGACCGTCATCCTCACAAGAGTTTTGTCTAAGGGCTGTCTTTTTTAGTAACTTGAATTTAAGTATCATTGGATTTGTTTTACCCTGTTCCTGATCCTTCATCACAGCAATGATCTGACCTGACCTAAAGTTATTTAAAGCTAGGCTCTCAGGACCGGAGATGGAGCCCCAGCCCTCGAATGGGCTTTGAAAGCTTTCCTCCATCTCTCACTTACCCTTCTAGCCTCACATCTAAAAAAAAAATCAGTTGATTTTGCCTCAGCATATCTTTGCTCACTGACTCAATTCTGGGCTCACTTCTTCCCAAAAGTTCACAGTAGGTGACTGCCCTTCCCATCACTGTAATACAATCTCTGATATTAAAACTCTGTTACAATGAGAGTACTTTGAGGGTAGGGACTGTAACATATTAATTTTAAAATCACAAATTCCAAGAACAGTTTTCTGAATACTAACCATTCAGTTAATGCTTTTTGGTACTAAACTGGGTAAGGGAGCTTGGCAAAGTGTTCAAGGATCCCCCCAAGGGAGATAGACGTTTCACAATTTAGTCCTCAGAAGAAATGGGCAAGCAGGGACCCAGGGAACCTAAATGCATTAAGTGATTCCCATAGGAGCGCGTCACACCCACCTGAGGCTCAATGCGCGACGCTTGCTTTTCTTGGGCTGCCTTTTCTTTCTCAGAAGACTTTTCATTGCCTTTCCTTGTTGTTTTGGAAGTTCCTGAAGATTTTTGCCCCTCACTAATAGTATGAGAATCTGGGCTTCCCACAGTAACTGACTCCTCGTGTTTCTCTACATGAACATAAAAATAGAAACAAGGGAGTCACGGTAGGACAATAAAATCATTCGATGTAGGACAAGAGTAGCAGGTTAGAGGGGAAAAGGTTACTTTAAGGGGTTTGGATTTCTCTCTCTGGTTTCACACACTGCTTGCATGGAATTTAGAGTCTGTGTGCCCAGCACTGCTGGTCCTCTTCACGATCTCCAATAAAGATCGAGTCCCAGGGATCTCACTGCCAACAGAAGACGGGTTAACTGCCTTTTAGAAGACCACTATGGTTGATGGTAGGTTAAAGAACTTCCTAAAAAGTGGAATAAAAGTCATTCTTTTTCTCACTATGTTTTCCAGGCAATTCGGCTACTGGTAATGCTGTTCGTTGTATCACAGCAGTTCATCATTTTGTGAATGTGCAAATCACTCAGAAAATCCTGTAAAATGCATACCTCAGGAACTACACCAGAGATTACAAATCTGTGGTCTGACAGAGGGCCAGGAATCTACATTTAAAAAACCAACTGCCTGTGATTCTAACTTAAGTATCCTGTGGATATGACTTTGTGAAACACTGTTGTACGAAGTTTATGTGGGTCTCTCTTTAGATGCAAATTGTGTAAAAGAATGGCTGACAGGAAGCACATCATTGGTTAGAATTCAAAGAAGCTGAGGGTACCTTCATAAGAGTAGTTCTTAAGCGTTAGCCTGAATTAGAATTTATGGAAGGGTTTGCTATAAAACAAATTTAAGGGCAACACCCCTAAAGTTTCTGATTTGGTAGGTCTTGAGTAGGCATCTGTGTTTGAATTTCCTACAAGTACTGAGGTACTTGGTATAAATTTTGAGAATCACTGGTTTACATTTTAAAGGGTTTAATTACTTTTCCCTAAAATAAGGAACATTTGCCTATGTTTATTATTTGAATGTTTCTCCTACGGTTCATATGTTGGAAACTTACTGGCCATTATGACAGTGGTGAGGGCTGGGGCTTGGAGTAGGTGACTGGGGCGTGAGAGAGCTGCCTCCTGAATGGATCAGTGCTATTATCATGGGAGTGGGTTCATTATCAAAGAGGGCATTTCTCTCTCTCACCCCTTAGGTGCCCTGTGCCATGCTATCACAAAGCAAGAAGGCCTTCATTAGATGCTGATACTGCCATGATAGATTCGTCACTCTTCAGAATCCCGAGCTGGTGAATCCCTCCTCATTATAAATTACCCAATCTGCTGGGTACTCTGATGTAGTGGCATGAAATGCTCTACAGTATTTTATGCTCTATTATTTTTTTCTGACAATTAAACATCTGGATATTGGAGGGTAAATACTATTTGTTGGATCTCTACTGTGTTTCTTCGCTTTTGGTTCTCAAAATATTCCAGCAAGGCAGATTCAAAGAAGTCTGTAACTTGTTGGTAAAAGCTGACTCAGGATTCAAATGCAAGTTCAAAAAAAAAATCTTACCAATCCCTTTCAAAAATTGATGTTTCATTGTTGGGCACAGGCGCTCAATATACCATACCCCAGCCGGGACTAAGGACCACGCCAGCTTCCGCAATGCGCTACGTCCCTCTTTAAATTAGCCAACCCGTGCGCAACCCGCGCTCACTCCGTACTCTGTGGCAACTCCTGATTGGCCACAGCTGGATATAGTAGCCAGAGCCTGCATCCCATTCCCGCCCTGCTTCCTCGTGGCAGCCTGTGATTGGTCACGGCCAAATATATAAACCAGAGCCCGCGTAAATAAACTAGCAGTTAACTGTCGTCCACAAAAGCGTCTCCTGTCTCCTGTTTCGTTGGAGCTGCGCCGGTCAACTGGTGGCCCGTATGGGGAGCCCGGAACGCTGAGACCCTCTCTCCAACAGTACGGGGAACGAACCTCTCTCTCCGACGGAACAGAGACGTCAACAGGTAAAATCGTCAAGCGCCAATAGCGGGGGCTACTTGGCGGGCGAGGGCTGACAGGTTAAACTGCTCAACGTTGGTGGCGGGGGCTACGCAACAGGCAGCGGGGGCTGCGGGCCGGATGGCGGGGGCTATCGGGCAACCTTGGGCGGACGTGTCGCAAGGGTCAGGAACTCGTAAAGAGAGTTCCCGGTGCCGTAAAGAGGCCGGTTTTGGGGGCGCCGTAAAGGGGCGCGGGGACTAAGCTGTCCCTGTTTAAAAAAAAAAAAAAAAAAGGGAAAAAGAAAAAAAAAGTAAATAAAAATAAAAACAAACTCTTGAAATTCCGGTTAACATGGGCAACACTGCTACTCAGCCGCTGTCGGTCGCTTTAAGCGACTTACTGAGAGAAAAGGGATTACAAATGAAACGAGAACAAATTCAAAACTTCCTCGATCAGGTCGATAAGGTAGCACCTTGGTTTGGTCCCACGGGGTCCGTTACCATCCCCAGCTGGGATAAATTAGGGAGAGATCTTGACTTTGCAGCAGAAAATGGCCTCCTGGAGCCAGGAGTCAGACCCCTTTGGACAGTGGTGAGAAGCTGCCTTGCAGACACCTCTTGTCGTGACCATATAAGGGCTGGCGCCATGGCGCTTGATTACCATCAGGCAGAATCCTCCCTCGAGCAATCTCGCGAGTCCAGTGCCGCAGGCGAGGTAACCCCACCCAACCCAGAAACAGAGGACTCGTCAGATAATGAGGGGGAGGAAGGAGAAGTATACAAAATGGCGGATGCAGACACCACCAAAAGAGGGGAAGTCACACACACGCAGTCGAGAGGGCCCTACTCTGAGGCCATAAATGAGCTGCAACGCAGAATTTCTCAGAGTAAATGGGTCAATAAAAGCGAGTATGGGATCCCAGGGCCACCCCGTATAAGACCTGCAGCTCTACCTCCCAACCCGCATCTTGCAGGGGGCCCAAGTCGAGCCCGCTGTGAGTAAGGGCGCGCCAGCTCGGAGGCCCCGGAGATCCTTCTACACCCTTATCTGGGCAAGGGTCCTCCAGTTTACCGCTTGTGACCCCCTGGATGGATACTCCCAGGAGATATTATGGGGATTCTCCCTGGCCACCGTAAACACCACAAATATGACTTTTCTAAATTGCTCCACCACAACCTGTTATATGTTACAATGTTGGGATAACAGTGCACTTTCAGCTGTTGTTATGCAGGTACTCCAGTTCGCACCGGTTCCAGTTATGGCGGACTCAGACGAGTTTCCTGTGATCCAGCTCGGGCCAACTCTCCAATTGGCTTTCATAAAGGAATGGGCAGGAACAGGGGCTCTGGCTACCATAACTACACTTGCCGCATTCGGCAGTCTACTTCTGCTCTGTCGGATTCGCAGACAAAGGAATAGGGACAAAATATCAAACAAGCATTGCTGATCATGGAATCTGGTCAAAGCCCGGCAGCATGCCTCGCCATGCTGTGACACAGGTGTGGAGAAAAGCATCGCAGGGGGTGTCGTCCTTGGCCAGGAGACACCCCGGTCCCCATGTTGGTGAGCATGCGGGTTGGGCTCATAAAACAATACTCCCGCCCCCTCCAAAAGAGCACCAACGAGTAGTGAGGCATTGTCATGACTGCGCAGCATGACGCCTCACGAGGGGCACCAACCTCTGGAGACCCTGCATCAGTTATAAAGAAAGGGGGAGATGTTGGGCGCAGGCGCTCAACATACCATACCCCAGCCGGGACTAAGGACCACGCCAGCTTCCGCAATGCGCTACTTCCCTCTTTAAATTAGCCAACCCGTGCGCAACCCGCGCTCACTCCGTACTCTGTGGCAACTCCTGATTGGCCACAGCTGGATATAGTAGCCAGAGCCTGCATCCCATTCCCGCCCTGCTTCCTCGTGGCAGCCTGTGATTGGTCACGGCCAAATATATAAACCAGAGCCCGCGTAAATAAACTAGCAGTTAACTGTCGTCCACAAAAGCGTCTCCTGTCTCCTGTTTCGTTGGAGCTGCGCCGGTCATTTCATGAGTCACCTCATAAGCAAGGTAAAATAGTAATTATGAGAAGTCCAAATATAAATATCTTGATATATAATATACATATATAATATGTAATACTGTTTGATTTTTTAAAAAGACCTTGAATTGGGTTCACATTGCATTCATTATGCAAAAAACAAAAAAACTGTAAGTTATGTTAGAGGTGAGAAAATATTGTTATAATCCTGCTCATAAAATTGGACAACTTGAAATCATGTTTTTAATAATGATCAATTTTATAGATGTTTTAGAAAATAGTTAAGAATTTCAAATAGGTAAGAACTACAACGCCAAGAGATAACACACTGATAAAAAGAATTTAGAGTCACAAATTATGAATTAAACCTGATGTCACTAGGACTCCCTCTCCATGCCTTCCAGTTCCTGTTTATGTGAAATTCACTGCCCAGGGAAACAATTGTTGCCCGGAGAGGTGCCGCAGGTGGCGCTGTGGCACTGTGTTACTCAGGCCTGTGTGTGTGTGTGTGTGTGTGTTTTGTTTTTTTTTTTTTTTTTTTTGTCTTTTTCCTTTTTATCGGAACCAGGGGTCGAACTCACAACTGCCTGCTCGCTTATGCTGCTGAGCTAAATCCCCAGCTCCAGGCCTGTGTTCTTGAAAAAATGGTAACAAAAATATCTTAGCTATAATTTAGGCCTCGTTTTTTTATTGTAAGGTATAATAATGTGGCTTTTTTATTTTCTTGTTTGTTTTGATTTTCTGTTGTGAGACAGGGTCTCACTATGTAGCCCATGCTGGTCTCAAACTCCCAGCAATCCTCCTGCCTCAGTCTCCCAAATTCTGACATTACAGGCATACAACACCACATCTGGCACAATATGGTGTTTTTTTAAAAAGAAAATCGGGTTATGTATTTTATTCCTCCTAGAAATTAAAATTTCAATTTAAATATTTAAGTGGACAACATTTTTATTAACTTCAGGATATATATAAAATTTTAAATTCAGTCATCAATATAATAATAAAAAGAGCTGGATTAACTTCTTTTGGATGCACTTATATTTTAAAAATAGGTTGATAATTTAAAGATATTAGTAACTGACATTTCTATCTT